CTGAAAATGCGACATGTGGTGGAGTATTTTTAAAGAACTTTGAGGTGTTTGGAAATGTGGCAAAAAATGATTAGGGTGTTTGATATATCTTCTCAATCAAAACTACAACTCAGGAGAAACTGGAAAAATAAAATTGTGAAAAACCCACTAGGCTAAAATTTTAAGATCAGATATCTAACCTACATGGTCATGATTTCCTTGGTTTAAACTTATTGAATTATAATGAGTTTCAGAAAGTAGAGGACTAGATCTAGATGGGTAGTCTAGAATTTTCATAGAATGTCAAAGCAAAAACTTGATATGAGAACACAAGTTTGCCAGGACTTGCATTGTATTTGTTGGTTTGACAAAATGTTTAAGCTTATTCACCTTGTTGTACTCCAGGTCCCAACATTTGACTTGCTTGTCTTCTCCACATGAAAACAGATAAGGTTGTCTTGGACTGACTGCTAATCCCCTGACAGTACTTATATGACCTGTAAGTGACAACTTTAACTTGCCACTTCCAAGCTCCCAGATCTTGAAAAAAAATTTTCATGATCAAATATGATATTCAAAGTACAGGTGTAATATATTAATAATTTTTTTGTTCCAGAATGCATTCTGAGACAATGATCACAGGTAAAAAGTAAGATAGTTAGCTCGTGAGCCTAGGTGTTTATTCCAACTAAGTCAAATTTATAAATTAAGAGCAATTCTTTTCATATTTATTTTTGCTGTGTCACTGTTTTGCAGTAAACATTAACAAATTCTGCAATAGTTCTTACACATGGTAAGAGTATAAAGAATTGAAGGTTTAGATTTTGATTGGGAAAAAGCTAGCAAGCTTTGGGAGCATATGTACCTGCAGGAAGCTAGATATTAATAAGTCAATACATGTCAGCCTTTTTCCCTGGCTTCTTCATTCAGTACCTTGATGGTCCTGTCAGCAGATCCTGTAGCAAACCACTGGTTACCAGGCTCTACAGCTACTGATCTCACCCAACCGGTATGACCACTGATTACCTATAGCAAACAATCACAAATGGACCAGTTAAATTACTGAAACCCAATACACGACAATTAGTTGATAAACACTGACAGTGTACCTGTCACCAGGGAGCAATAGCTGGAAAACAGAAAAAAGGATCATTTAAGTTCCAGCTCAAAACCTCAACTCCTCTTGCTGGTCTCTTTATACTTGATAAACTGTCATGGATCTAGGGTTGTTTGGGTTGTTTCCAAGGGTGGTTCGTTTGAATCTCAAACATTAAATGTTGCATTGCTTAAGTGTTGCTTCAACAAAAATCAGTTGGCAAATATTTCATATCTATAAAAGTCTGCATATGAGCCAAGTGGCCTATCAGGCCGACGCTTATCTCTGGTTTCCACATAGCATGAAGTGACTACTCACTAGGAGTATTTCTACTCCCCCCTGGATGGGATGTTAGTCCATTGCAGGGTTACCCCCAGCATTAAACTTGCTGGTACTCATTTATACACCTGGGTGGAGAGAGGCACTGTGAGAGTAAAGTGTCTTCCTCAAGAACACAACACAATGTCCCCGGCCAGGGCTTGAACCTGGACTACTCAAACCTGAGTCGAGCACACTAACCACGAGGTCAACCTGCCTCCCTGACAAATATATGACCTTCTGGAAATTACATGCCTTTGTCATGAACTTGAACAGAGCAAAAATAACATTGAAAATATACTAGTTGTAAATGTCCCACTTGTTCAGTTTAAAAGCAGCACCAGTGCTTCCTAGTGAGATGGCGAGTATCTTGCAATAATATTTCCATCTTCATGTTCCAACTTGCAGAAGTGATAAATTGTGAGTATCCACAAACCTATGTCCTTTTCAGTCTACTGATTTTGCTAGGAGTTACAATGTGCATGTAATTTTTTCTGTTCCTTAGGGGGTTGACTGTTATTCACTCCAATTGATTTTCTAATTATAAAAAAAATAAGCCAGATGATAACACCAGACTCTGTTACAGTACATGTGAACAGATGACTGAGTTTATTTGCTGCTGAAGCAGGCCACCCTCTGAATAACAACACATTTTAATTTTTTAGGAAAATTTATAGCTCTGGGTACTCATGATTTACCTCAGCCCAATGACTCTAACCCAGAGTTCTCCGTAAGCTCCGGCGACTGGCGAAATTTGCCGTCTAGTCATCCTTGGCGTGCTGGCTACTTATAGTAAATAAATTATGAAAAAATTTTATTTGTAACAATGTGAGCCTATTCGTCAATAAAATTAAGCATAAAAACAATGTCTAATTTTCTCAACAAATACGTAGCGATTAAAAAAATATATTTAAGGATTTATTGTACGGCTTTTATTACATAAAAACCAATCAAATACCAGGTGAGCCTTCGCGCGAAAACATGATATCTTCACACGTGGAAATAACATGTTATTTTCACATGTAAAAAGATCACCGTTGCTATATGGTTGCATAATAAATGGCGCCTTTCGCAGCGAAAGTGAAATGGGTTGGGATTTCATTTGTGTACAGAGAAGGAAAACACAAACTGTTGGAATGCTAGCTCCACTTTCCTGCTGAAACAACATTGTGGATCCTTCATGTATTGCTTGCCTCACAAGAAAAATTAAAAAAAAAGAATTGTGACAGAACCTTTGTTCAAGGAAATTTTATTTACAACTTTAAAATATTCAAGATATCCGGTGTCTCTCTTTTAACATCTTAGGTATCTTCACAACAGCAGGAAAAATTTCACAGGCCATGAACTGTGTATAGAAAGTATACAAGATGTCTGTCTTTCTTCATACAATCGGCTGGACACAGCTGCTTAATATCGCTTTCTCTTCAAGATTTCAGGTTTCCAGTTTACAGGATGAGTTTCTTCACTCTGTTACAAGACAAAATAAATGCAAGGATTGTTCCTTAGCATGGTTGGAACCATAATGTTGAGAGTGCTCGCCATCAGAGTGAAAAACTTGCAGAATGAACTTGAAACCCCAAATTTCAGTTTTCAAGTGCAAACCATAATATTGTCCTTTTAAATAGCTGGACTTTATGTACATAATTACGACGACGGCGGGGGAAGGGGAGGGGGGAGGGGGGGCACGACGGCGACGACGACGACGACAACGACGACGACTAATTATAATAGGTTTCTATAGTGCCCTTTCTCCAAAAAGTAAAGCGTTATCATTAAAGATCGAAAAAGCGTAAGGAAAGTAATTAAAGGTTTGTAAAGCTCTCACATCTTGCAATATGTGATACATACCCTGAATTTAAATATTCAGGGTATGTTATTGATTAGTGTTTGTTGTGATCAACAACAAGGGGAATGAAAGGCGCTTTCCATTCGACCAAATATTCCGATTGCATTTCCGGAAATTTCCAGAGGCTAATGGAACAACATTTTCCACAATTTCTGGAAAAGAGGACAATCTCGCCAACTATGCCCAAATTTCTGCATATTTCTTACCGGGAATTTCTGTGGCATAAATTTGGATTTTCATCCCGGATTCCCGTAATTTTCGGTTGAATGGTTTGCATTTCAGAACTTGACAATTTTCGGACTTTCTGGAAACTTTCTAAGGATATTTCCGTATCATTTGCCCCAGTTTCAAAAGTTCCGAAGTATTTGGTTGAATGGAAAGCGCCCAAAATCTCACTGAGAGCAAGGATTAATTTCCACCCGTTAGCACTGACAATTAGCAGTTTGTGAATAAAAAGTGAAAGTTCTTTCTTGAAGCAGTTGTGCGATACTCACTGCAGTGTCATCCTCTTTGTATATCTTGATGGTCTTATCAGCTTCGCATGTGATAAGTCGACTGCTACTCAGGTCAAAGGTCATTGCAAAGATACCAGCTTCACTGTCAAGTGAACCTGGTTGCACAGATGCCTGTAAACGTTGAAAGTTGTACCCAGTCCGCCAGTCCCAAAAGTGCATGGTACCATTATCGCCTAAAATTCAACAGCATAAAATCACTTTTGCAACGTACTTAAACGCCAGCCAGACATACTTTTGCAACCTTACCTCAAGATCAATAAGTTATCAGAAAAGTTATCGGAAATCAATAAACAGTCATTTGTTTCATCGTTTGTTTTTTCGTTCATTCATTTAAAAAAACAAGGGAAGCCTCTGAAGTTCAACGAGTTCATAGGCCTGGACGCCGCTCCAGTTTCTGGAGCATAAAGCGGCTAGGGGTATTGCTACTCCCAAAACTGGAAATTGCGTGGTACTACTTGAGGCCCAGGTATGGATCTTCTTGTTCCAGGATCAATCCGCTGAGAGATTCACACAATATTTCAGATCGTTCCATGGTCAGATCGTTATTCAAGAGGCGAATGTTAACATTCACGTAGTTCAAGTGGTTGATGCGATAAGAGGTATTCCATCACATCACGGACACTTGGAGTGATATGGGAGGCGTACAACTGGTCAAACTGCAACTCATTGACACTTTAATTAAGGGTTATAAGGTGGAGTTGTAGGGAAGAAACGGTCTGTATCAGTGTCTTTTTTACCGCAAAATGGTATTGCCATATTACAAGAAATCTGCCCAAGTTGTCCCAGGAAACTATATGATAATTACTTAGCCTAACTCGATGTTGCCATTAAGTGTCACTCTTGAATCTATTGTGCACATTCTACGTGTCATATATTGTGTTTGTTGTTTGAGTCCTAAGTTGAAAGTATAAAATATTTGAATCAAGAAACAAGAACTACCTTGGCCATAGCCTGCCTGGTGATAAAAGCTCAGTCAAGTGAGCAAGAACTGACTTCTTTTCCCAGTTAATAATTGGTGTCTTCTTCAGCTCTGTACCTTATATGCTCTATTACAAGTAGTTTTAGCATTCTGTACATAATTAATATATATTTAAATATTAAAATTAAATTAACAGACGCTCTAAAGACTACCCACCTCCCGAAACCAAAACACCATCTGAGTTAACTGCCATACAATTCACTATGGAGTTGTGTCCAATAAGATTCTGAAGAAAATTTCCATCTGGGAACTTCCATTGTTTGATGTTGTCAGGAGATGCTGATGCAAATGAAAACCTACCAAGCAAACAAATTGATCAGTTAATAAGCAAAGTGCTTTACCAAAAAAGACCCAGTTTTACACAAAATTGAGCCACGGCTTGGTATTGCAATAACAATTTAAATGCATTATATTATTTTGACTTTCTTAACTTGCTTGTAAGTAATTAGATACTTGCACCATCCTCACTTTCAGCTCTATTTCTCTGATCACTAAAGACAACTGAAAGTCGAGCTCAACGTGTAAATGAAGATCTGATAGTCTACAGTCACCAGCAAGTGTTTGCATGGGTACAGGACGTATCAACAACCAACCTCGTTCCCAGGGTCTCTCATCTCACCGCCCTCTGGAGCGAGGCAGGAGAGACCGGGTCTCTTTTCGCTCGCTCCAGGGGGCCGTTAGATGAGAGACGCTGGGAACGAGGTTGAGCAACAATGAGCAACAACAAGGAAAAAAAAAGAAACAAACAAACAAACAAACAAAAAACACATGTTAAAATATAATTATTATATTTACAATAGATAACGATTTGACAGACACAAGGATAGATGGGTAAATGGAATGAACAGAGTGAAGTGTTACTAACTGTGTTGGATGTAACACAACTGATCGGACACTTTTCTTGTGATTAGTGAGTGTAACTTTAGACTTTCCAGCTGCTAAGTCCCACAGACGAATAGTACAATCATGGCTTCCCGTTATAACCTGCAAAACAGTCAGAAATAACTGAACTGCAATTATCAACACAAATTATCAACTAAAGAAAAACTAGTAAGCCAATACATAATATACACCTTTTGCCAATTCACACAATAATTGTAGTATTTGTAAATAGCTTAATATTTCCTGACAGGACCGAATAGAGCCTCACTATTGCATCTAATATTGTACAAAAGAAACATTTGCAAAAGCGCTTGGAGCTTCCTTTCCAGAAAGTTTCTATTCACATGATCTTATTAGCAATTGCCTTAAAACACATTTCATCACTTCTCGAACAGCAAAAATATTATTATGAATTGTGTAAGGTTAGGTGCTGAAGGAAGACTGTCAACAAGGGTCCTGAGACAGAAGAACAAGAATGAGTCCAAGTAGGTCTTTCTATTTTCAGACCAATGCTGTTCTTAGAGCTCTTGCTCAGGTTATGGAAGTGAGATTGGCATAAATTGATGACCTTAAGCAAGTGTGTATTCACACTCATTCTAAAGGTCCCCCATGAAACCTTAGCAAGACCCTAACTGAGGAATATGTTTGGAAGATGAATGTCCAAATATCCTGTTTTTGAGCTTGATGATATGGGAGCTAACAAATTATCCCACATTAAAAAAAGCTCTCAAACTAATGTAGCACAGTAATAACAAGACCAGTTGGCACCTTTTGAGTCAATAATCAAGAGAACTATCAACAGTGCATTGAATATCCGATTTGCTTTAAACCATTGAATCCTGAAAGAGTGAACAAAATCTAATTTCTGGTATTGTATGTTGTTTACTTACTGACCTGAGGTTCCACAGCTTGACACTTAACAACTGCTACCGTACTTGTATGGCCTGTCAGTGTGTGAATACAGGCTTTGGTTCTCATGTCCCATACCTAAAGACCAAACAAGTGTTCAAGAATCTAACCTCCAGTGTTCATGTACCATAACCATTTACAACAACAAGAAAATTTTATTTCTTGCACCTGAAGATATACAGTAGGCTTTAAGACAAAAATAATGCTGCCTAACAAGAAAATCACTTTATTATAATACTCTATTGCAATAATAATTTACTTTAAATTATTGCCTACTGGCTTGTGTGTATACCAAGAAAATACCAGGGACTCGTGGGATATTCCATGGTATACCACTCAAAGCATTGCATAACTACTATGTCTGCAATGCCTTTTAACCATGCCCTGAAATGGAGATGTATATTTTTACTGGTATAAATAGTTTGTTAAATTTTTGTTACCCTGGCTGTTGCATCTCTACCACAAGTTAACAATACATCAATTGTAGGATGAAGATCCAGTGAATAAATAGCACTTAAGTGTCCGTGGTAGTGTCGCACAACCTGTAATAAATTACATGGCAAATGTCAATACAGCAGCTATTCTGGCCGAGAGAATTTCGAACAAAATAGATGTGCTCTTGTAACTAAACACAAGTTGGTAGAGTCTTCACAGTTATATACCTTTTAACTTGACACCAAGTGAAAAGGAAGTGAAGATAAAAAATTGCACATAGAATGTCACAACCTCAAAATATTGCTTTGTCCGGATCAAATATTTATATTATTTGAAGTTAAATACCACAAATGTTAGAGTTTGTGGTTGAAACTGAATTTTTTTTAACCTATGACCAAGTGAAGTGGAGATTGTCAGGCCAGTGACATCATTCCAGGATATTGGCACCAGTTTTAAACTGGAAGCAATAATGCAAACATGAAAGACCATGTTTAACCACATTTCAAAATACTGAGAAGAGAGCTGAAAATGCGACATGTGGTGGAGTATTTTTAAAGAACTTTGAGGTGTTTGGAAATGTGGCAAAAAATGATTAGGGTGTTTGATATATCTTCTCAATCAAAACTACAACTCAGGAGAAACTGGAAAAATAAAATTGTGAAAAACCCACTAGGCTAAAATTTTAAGATCAGATATCTAACCTACATGGTCATGATTTCCTTGGTTTAAACTTATTGAATTATAATGAGTTTCAGAAAGTAGAGGACTAGATCTAGATGGGTAGTCTAGAATTTTCATAGAATGTCAAAGCAAAAACTTGATATGAGAACACAAGTTTGCCAGGACTTGCATTGTATTTGTTGGTTTGACAAAATGTTTAAGCTTATTCACCTTGTTGTACTCCAGGTCCCAACATTTGACTTGCTTGTCTTCTCCACATGAAAACAGATAAGGTTGTCTTGGACTGACTGCTAATCCCCTGACAGTACTTATATGACCTGTAAGTGACAACTTTAACTTGCCACTTCCAAGCTCCCAGATCTTGAAAAAAAATTTTCATGATCAAATATGATATTCAAAGTACAGGTGTAATATATTAATAATTTTTTTGTTCCAGAACGCATTCTGAGACAATGATCACAGGTAAAAAGTAAGATAGTTAGCTCGTGAGCCTAGGTGTTTATTCCAACTAAGTCAAATTTATAAATTAAGAGCAATTCTTTTCATATTTATTTTTGCTGTGTCACTGTTTTGCAGTAAACATTAACAAATTCTGCAATAGTTCTTACACATGGTAAGAGTATAAAGAATTGAAGGTTTAGATTTTGATTGGGAAAAAGCTAGCAAGCTTTGGGAGCATATGTACCTGCAGGAAGCTAGATATTAATAAGTCAATACATGTCAGCCTTTTTCCCTGGCTTCTTCATTCAGTACCTTGATGGTCCTGTCAGCAGATCCTGTAGCAAACCACTGGTTACCAGGCTCTACAGCTACTGATCTCACCCAACCGGTATGACCACTGATTACCTATAGCAAACAATCACAAATGGACCAGTTAAATTACTGAAACCCAATACATGACAATTAGTTGATAAACACTGACAGTGTACCTGTCACCAGGGAGCAATAGCTGGAAAACAGAAAAAAGGATCATTTAAGTTCCAGCTCAAAACCTCAACTCCTCTTGCTGGTCTCTTTATACTTGATAAACTGTCATGGATCTAGGGTTGTTTGGGTTGTTTCCAAGGGTGGTTCGTTTGAATCTCAAACATTAAATGTTGCATTGCTTAAGTGTTGCTTCAACAAAAATCAGTTGGCAAATATTTCATATCTATAAAAGTCTGCATATGAGCCAAGTGGCCTATCAGGCCGACGCTTATCTCTGGTTTCCACATAGCATGAAGTGACTACTCACTAGGAGTATTTCTACTCCCCCCTGGATGGGATGTTAGTCCATTGCAGGGTTACCCCCAGCATTAAACTTGCTGGTACTCATTTATACACCTGGGTGGAGAGAGGCACTGTGAGAGTAAAGTGTCTTCCTCAAGAACACAACACAATGTCCCCGGCCAGGGCTTGAACCTGGACTACTCAAACCTGAGTCGAGCACACTAACCACGAGGTCAACCTGCCTCCCTGACAAATATATGACCTTCTGGAAATTACATGCCTTTGTCATGAACTTGAACAGAGCAAAAATAACATTGAAAATATACTAGTTGTAAATGTCCCACTTGTTCAGTTTAAAAGCAGCACCAGTGCTTCCTAGTGAGATGGCGAGTATCTTGCAATAATATTTCCATCTTCATGTTCCAACTTGCAGAAGTGATAAATTGTGAGTATCCACAAACCTATGTCCTTTTCAGTCTACTGATTTTGCTAGGAGTTACAATGTGCATGTAATTTTTTCTGTTCCTTAGGGGGTTGACTGTTATTCACTCCAATTGATTTTCTAATTATAAAAAAAATAAGCCAGATGATAACACCAGACTCTGTTACAGTACATGTGAACAGATGACTGAGTTTATTTGCTGCTGAAGCAGGCCACCCTCTGAATAACAACACATTTCAATTTTTTAGGAAAATTTATAGCTCTGGGTACTCATGATTTACCTCAGCCCAATGACTCTAACCCAGAGTTCTCCGTAAGCTCCGGCGACTGGCGAAATTTGCCGTCTAGTCATCCTTGGCGTGCTGGCTACTTATAGTAAATAAATTATGAAAAAATTTTATTTGTAACAATGTGAGCCTATTCGTCAATAAAATTAAGCATAAAAACAATGTCTAATTTTCTCAACAAATACGTAGCGATTAAAAAAATATAACCCTTATAGCTGTAAGATAAAAGAAATCTGAAATCAATCGGACTGTGAGAATTGCCGCCAAATACGTGACGTGGGCACTGAGCCGTGACAGCAGCACTGAAATATTTGACAGCCGGGGTTAAGGTAAAGCTCAGTTTTTCCTCTGAAAATGAAGCGAAAAACCCAGCAATCGCTGTTCAGTACCAGGGATAAATTGAAAAGAAAATAGTGATGGCACAAATGAAGGTCATAAGTTGTTTTCTTTCAAAAATATAATTAAAATTAGTTCTTTTATCTCCAGTGAATGTACACGTAATTTAATTAGTTCTTTAAACACAATGACATGCAACCCAGTGCTTGGCTCGCGCATGGAGGATTTTCGAGAACAAATAAGCGAAAGATTTCTTTCAACAAAAGAAACAAACTTTGCAAGATCTTACACAATCTTTAAACTCAGCAGCTGGAAGATGTTTGTGTAAATATTGAACGTGAGATATAAAACTGGCGAGCTTACCGAGCAGGGAAGTATGAATAAATACATGCACTATTTCAAGGCTTCATTATAAAGTGAAACATTTACAAA